GGCCAGGGTTCGGGCGTGTCTGCAAAAAGGAAATAGAGGGGGTTTTTAAAGGGATCTGAACGCCCTGAGGCTGGATGCCTCGGCGAATTGTTGTTTTTCCACAGCAGTAACCCTAAACCCTTATAAACCCTCAACCCTGAACCCCTGAAGCCTGAAACCCGCAATTAGCTGAGAGGCAAGGTTGCCGGCGAAATGTCTGAGTTAACTTCCCCTGAAATCCTAAGCTCAACGTAGGACACCGGCCCCCAACTCCACCCCAAACCCTGTGGGTATTGAAGCCCTAACAACCCTAACCCTAGCAATCAATAACCCCAGACCCTAAAGACTGGGTTTCTGTTAAGGAACTTAAAATTAGTTACTATATTGGGGATACCCTATTATTTACTACATATACCCATTATGGTAACTGAACTTAAGTTCCTTAACAGCAACCCCTAAATCCTAAACCCCAAACCCTAAAACCCTAAAACCCTAAACCCTAAACCCTAAAACCCTAAAACCCAACCCAGAAGAATCACAGAGGATGGCAAGCCCATCCCATGGGGTGTCCCGGCCTGAAGTTGAGTATCAGGGTTTAGGAAGTGGCCCCTAAATCCTAAACCAACCCTAAACCCTCAACCAAAACCCTAAATCCTAAACCCTTAAACCCTTAAACCCTAAATCCTAAACCCTAAACCCTAAACCCTAAACCTGGAGTAAGGCATCAGGGTTTAGGGTTTGGGGTTTATGGGCTTTTTTTTTTGCATCCTTTGCTCTTTACACTTTTATCAAGAAAGGCGGGTAACGCAGTCATAGCCCAAGGGCTCCTGTGTAGTTGCTTTTTGTTGGGTTTAATCTGTTTTTGGGTTAAGTCTTTTTATTCCGAAAATGTCTACATGAGCTACAGTCAAAACTCCTAGTATCCCCGTTAAGAACCCTCATAACACCCCGTATTAAGGAGTTTCGTCTATAGCTCACATGGGCGGGTCTGGGTAAAAGCTTCAGCCTCAAACTTGGAGCTCTAATGCCCCGGCCGAGAGGTGCACTCGCCGGTCTCACAGGAGAATTGGAGACCAATGGCCAGCTGTGGGCAGTGGAGGGCGTGTTCCTAGGAGGCGAGAGTATAGATTGGGTTTTAGGTTGGTTTTATGGCTCCGGGTATAAGGCGTCGGGTTTGTATTTTCGGGGATTTTCGGGGCTTAGGTTGAAGATTAAGGAACATGCTGGGATCCCTTGCATCACGTGATTTGTGGTTTGAGGGCTCTCGCCAGATGAGCTATAGTCTAAACTCCTTAAAGGGGGGTTCTATATGGGATTATAGGGGAATATTATGGGGGGTATTGAATTAAGGTGTGCGGTCTTGTAAGATTCCATAGGGCTTAGGGTTTAGGGGCCAAGCTTCGCTTGTGGCTTTGGAATGTTACAGGCTTCAGGACCGGGAAGCAGCGGTGAGATTTTAGCGTACGGCGGATCATCAAATTTTGACTCATCTGTTGGCCATTGGATGCATAATCTAACCTCCTGAAAGGGTTTAAGGGGATTATATAGGAGACTACTATTGGGGTTATCTGTGGGGATGCTCGGAGTTTAGACTGGGGCTCATTCGTTCTGTGAGGGCTATTTTGCTTCCTCAGTAGGGTTTAGGGTTTAGGGTAACTCGGTCAAAGTGATTTGGAGGCTGTTTCTGTTTCTACTATTGACTTTCAATGATGAACAGCCTCCAGTTGTACACAAGGACTAGGGCACAAGTTTGAAGCCAAGCCGGTTCTTTTGGTCTAGTTTTTGGGAGTACTTTAGTCCGGACAAGACTTTTTGTTGTGAATGGTCACCTGGCAGCCAAGGTTCTTCGCACAGCCCAGGATTCTTCGCATCCGAAGCGACACTCACCCCCCCAGAATCCAGCAGGCCATTGACATCACCTTCCAGAATGGCACGGCTGCCACCGGCTTGGACCTTGTGGGGATTGATCTTCTCTCCCCGGGTGCCTGGATCATCCACAGAGGAGTTTTCGTATTTTGCATGAAAGCAAATAACAAAACGTGAAATTTTGCATAGACTTGCCAAGTACCAGGGACTATGTGGGTATCATATATTGGTAATTCAGCTCTATACAGGGTTCTTGGGGTCTAGGGTAGTTTCACTATTGCAAACTGACTTGGCAATGTTCAAGGTTTTGTTCTTGCGGACAGAGCGTCAACAAGCCTCTTGATCCTGAACGCGAACTCTGACACTGATTCAGAAATCACTTTGCTTACGGGGGTAAGTGAGGAAAAAAGGAATATATATATATATCATATAGGCTTATAAAGGGATTATATCCACTTCTTCCCTACTAAGCACTAGTAAGTTTTACGAATCAAGGTTCCAACGCCCGCTTGACAACCCCTATCTGGAGTATTATCAAGAACCATGAGCGTTTCCTGGGCATGCCATAGATTCTGCCTAGACCCTAAGCAACAAAAAAAGAACCTGCTCTTTTCGATCCCATACCCATTTTGGCTTCTTAAACAAGGAACAACTCATCGTAGCACAAACCCACGCCATTCTAAACCCCCAGCCGTCTAGGAGTTGATCAAAAGTACGCCATCACAATCCCTGATAAGGATGCCAGAATCCACACAATGTTTCCCTGGGGTCCCTAGCGGCCACCTTGGTTGAGAAACGTCCTTGGTTCAGAGTTACATAGGGATAATGGAAAAGAAAATGGAAACTACAGGGATACTAAAGGGTTTATGTAGGGGTTATAGGGTGTGTGTGTATATATAAATATATATATATATATCTATATGTATGTATTGGGGTTCTACAGGGGGGGTTTAGGGTTTGAAGATTAGGTTTAAACGCACTCCTAAACAGACAAAGGAATGGTGTCATCCAAGATTCCATCGAGGCCTCCGAAGATTTTCTCGCCATGCTACGGGGTTTCGACGCTGTAATTTTGCGCAACATCTGTGCAAGTGTCCAACTCATGCCATATGTTAGTACCCTGTTGCTAAACTCTAAGCCCTATAGAGCCTAAACCCTATAACCCTATTTCCAGTAAGCCCTATAGACCCTAAACCCCTAACGCCTAAACCCTATACCCTATAAACCCTAACAACCCTTAACCCTGTAAACCCTATAACCCCTAACAATGTACCGGCGGAGCGAACTGTCTATTGAATCGCCGTTCTCGAGCATGAAATCTTCTGGGTTCTTATTGAACAACAGTTTTACATTTTCAAAAATACCTGGGCCCATCATAGATTAAAAGCATGAGCTTGTTTAATCGTATTTCAGTAAGAACCCAGCTTTGTAGACTCCATGCAACGGGGTCCCTAATATGAGCAGTGTTGTTCGCTAACCTTTTTTATAGGTAACCCCCCCCCCGCCCAAACCCTAAACCCCACACCCAAAAGGATCCTTAAGTTATGGAAATTCCCAGTTGTTGCTTCTAGGTCTTTTGGAGAACCACCTGTGGTTTAGGGCTTACGGTGTAGGTGGCCTTCCTGACACCAGGTAGCAACCGGAAAGCGAATAAAGCTTGAGGGAAGAACCCTGGCGCGGTTTGGGGGCTTAGGGGTTTAGGGATTAGGGGCTTAGGGTTTTTAGGCGTTTAGGGTTATGGGTTTTGAGCCCTAACACCCTGGAGTTTCTGAAAACGATCCCTATATAATCCCTAAGAAGAAGCCTCGACATGACCTTTAAGCCGTATGTATCCCTCCGGTCCTTTGGGCCCCTTTTTGCTGACAAGCTCCCGTATGAGTGCACTAGTTTGGTGCAAGCACTCACACAAAGTATTGGGAAGGTGAGAATCACCACCTCGGTTTAGGGTTTAGGGTTTAGGGTTTAGGGTATATGGGGGTTATTAAGGGGGATACTAGGAGTTTAGACCATAGCTCACCTCAAGAATCTCTGCACACGCTGACAGCCGTACATGGGGCTTTCTTGAACTTAAGCGTCCCTCGCTGAGGGGCGTTCTATCTCGTACTATAGCATATATGATCTTAAACCTTGAACCCTATTTAAACTGTTCGTGTGTTTATACTTGGGATATGTAGAAGGTACCCCAATTTTCTGAATCTACCGCATGTTGCGTGTTTGGGCAGGTGAACGGCACAGATGACATCTCCGGCGTGGCCTATGAAGAAGATGTTGGCTACGTGGTCACTTGGCTGAGGTTTAGGACTCTGGGCTGGGGATACTTGAGGGTCAGGGGGATTTGGTAAGTAGGCTAAGAAATGGCATAACTGGGGCCATTCCATGGCTTATAGGAGTGATAAGTATACTGACTAGTAGGCTAAGAAATAGCGTAAGTGGGGTCATTTCATGGCTTATAGGGGTCATAAGTATACTGACTATGCCCACCTTACCCTCAGGCCCTCAGGTAGAAATGCTATTTCTTAGTTGCCGGCTCCTCTGTGCCGCCCTTGCAAGTGCGAGTTTTTTCAGAACTGGCCCTGTAGAGTCCACAAGAGGGTGCCAGAATCCCTTTCCAACACCCATATTTCCGCAGGTTCCCTAAGGGCCGCCTATTCTGAGAAAGTGACAAATCTGGGTGAGGTCACTGTGCCGAACGGAACGGTCATCGTCTGCGATCTCACGCCACTTGTGCATCCATCTTAGTGTCAGTGTCTTACAAGCTAAGTTTTGCTGTATACACCTATGCACCCTATGCGTCCCTATATGATGCTACATGTCCTTATGTACCTCATCGTTATCCCTATATATCCCTGCGTAATCCTATATACCGTCATATACCCCTCTCTACCCCTGGGCCCTAAATCCACACCCTGAACCCCCTATACATTCTTATAGGGTTCCAGAAACCCTGTAAAAAATGATTATAGGGGGTACTTAGCGTCTAGGGTTTAGGGTTTTGGATTTTGGGTGCAGGGGTTACATAGGGAGACATACAGGGTTTACGCTTCAGGGTCCCAAAAGTAGGGGTACCTTTCTGGGGGTCCCTATATAAAGGTTCTACTTTTTAGGGGTCTATATAAGAGTTCCCCTGATTATGGAAACTAGCATATGAACCCCATCATCCTAGAGCCCCATGAAGCCTACAAAACCTAAACTCGAATCCTGAGCCTTAACACCATAAACCCTCTATGATTGTACATATCCCTGTATGCCCTGTGTATTTCCTTCTACACCCTGTTACAGAGCAGCAGCAAAGGCCTACCTGTGGTGTAAGCGTCTTCCAATACCCCTTGGATAATGCCACGACGGGTACCGTGGAGCCTGGGGCAGATCTTAGGAACTATTGTTTATGGTCCCCTAAACTCCAAACACTACCCAGACCCCCAAAAGGATCTAAAAATTAGATCCGCTAGAACCATATGGGAAATTATATAAGGATTATATGAGGGGTTATAATGGGTTCATATAGGGGATCTAATTTTTAGATCCTCCCAGGGGTCTGGGTAGAAAGGGGGGAGGTTGGGGCCATGTTTTACATGCTTTAAGGCTAGGGGGCGTCTACAGTTACTTTAGGGCGCAGGGGTTTATGAGTTTAGAATTTGCTGTTTAGCCCTTTGCTCTTTATAGTCAACTAAGTGGATTTCATGTATATCTCTCAGTTTCTCCAACAGCCTCGAGATAGGGGCTGCGCGACATTGTGGCTCTTGACAACGAAACCTTCCTGTTGCTTGGCATCATCTGGGTAGCTCATGGTGATTCCAAAGCAGAGGTCCCCCTTATATACAATCATAACACTACAAATCCTAAAGCATTTTTATGGAAATCCCGCTCTAGACGCCTGAAGGATTGTTGAGATTATGATTTATTCCTGATATGCTTTACTTCAGAGTCTTGCCTGAGTCACTTGTTAGAGGGCTGAAGCAGGTTTAAGCTTTAGGGTGTACGGCTTCATAGGGTCTACGGTCTAGGTTGTTCCGGGGAATTCATCCCATGGCTTCCTCCCTGTTGAGCGCCATACACCGCCATAGCCTCCCTTCTTTTTACTCCGTGTATACCTGGGCTCCCTTCCCTGAACCTGAATCCCTGAGCTTTAGACCGTCTATATGATTATATGTATGAGACATTTTCATATCTCTCCCTGTACCCCTTCAAAGAGCCTGACGGGTACTTGTGTTTTGAGACACCCTCGAAATTCAGGTTCCTTGAGACGGATGACCAAGCTGGCTTTGACGCTTCAGTACGTCGCATTTACAAGGCCTCTGTTGCTCTGCTAGGGTCACGGTTTGGGGTTTGCCTGAGGGTTCATGGCATTTAGTGCTATACACCGCCTGCCTGTTGCTAAAGCAACAAGACCCTATGGCCCTAGCAGGCATGCTCCCCCAAAACATAACCCCATACTGGGTCGCTGTTAACGGTAGAATTTAATTTACATAGCACAGAATGTATGGCTTCCTTATTGTAGTACTTTAATTTAAGTTCCTCTAAGTTCCTAGACAGTAAACAGCAACCCAGTATATCCTAAAACCTAATCCTTAATCCCCAAACCCTAAACCCTAAACCCGATTGCACGGTAACGCTAGTTTGGGTCACCCTGCGCATTTCGAGGCAGATCTTGGTGACCAGGTTGACCTCGAGAAGGCGACCCCAAAAACATGGGTCTAGGGTTTAGGGTTATGATTCCATCCTGGTTTAGGCTTTATAGGGCCTACCCCACCCGCGCAGAAAATGCCCAAACGAGGTCTAACAGCTATTTCAGCCGTATTCTGCGGGTGGGGGAAAATACTCGCATGGGTGCAGGACTGCAGTATGCAGCCTGGTTTGCGCGTCTGTGGCTTCATTTCATTTTAGAGTGTATACAACGTGGCCCACAACTACTCCCAAACCCTGAACCCTCAACCACAACTACTGTAAGGATTCCCTCAGACCTGCCTAAGCCTTCGCAAGGCTCTCCCTGTTTTATGGGTTATGTAGGGTTTTGGGTTACCCTAAGCCCCCAAATCATGGGGCAAAAGATAGTTGAACATGAAATGGAAACTGATATTATACAGGGGCTCGCGTATAGTCCCATTGTATTCCCCAATCGGAGCCCATGGCCAGTAGGCTTATGGGAAGACATTTGTTTTGGATATTGTAGGTGGAATATTGGCTGTAGCTCATATGCTGCCAACTTCAGGCTGCGCACACGGTGTGCAAGTGAGGCTTCTCTACATGTGCGGACGATGCCCTGCAGCCATCACCAGCACAACCTTAAGAAAGCTGATTGTTGGGTTGCTGCAAAGGAGTTCTTATCAAGCTAGCATATTATGGGTGTAGAATAAAAAATGGGGTTTCCTCATTGAAGTATCTTAAATTCCTTAAGAACGAACCAGACAGTACACCTCCTGTTTAATATCAGGATGGTGCAAGCCTCGGGCCCGCCGTTCATATTGCAACGTGCAAGTGGGCAATTAAAATGTAGTGTTCAACGCCCGTGTTGCATGGCTCCATCTGGGTCCTTGAAGCAGTAGTTACCATGCCTTACGAGGCATACTCTCATAGACTATATGGAGTTACCTCTAGACCTTTAAACTCGCCTGCGGCTCGACCCCGCGTAAGCTAGCAACGCGAAGAAGCTGTAAAGCAGGGATTTTCAAGATTCTTTGCATACTGTCTTTTTTGCAGCGCCTCGAACCCCTGTAAGCTATATGAGCCATTGTGAAAAAACTCCTAAAAGGGGGTTATATAGGGGACTACTATAGGGGTTATTAAGGGCTATATTAGGAGTTCAGACTATAGCTCATATACTACCTGTAGCTAGAACTATTGTCCAAGTCGGCTCTGTGAGTATATACCTTATACACACGGACGACAGCCCTTTCAATTTTGGGGTCTGATTCCTTACAAGGAAGCCTGCTGGCAACAACCACGCAAATTAGAAACCCTAAACCCTAAACCCCAAACTGGAGGAACTGGTTGAAGACTTCCTGCTGGAGCTAAAGGACCTTCGCGGACCGGTCCTGCCAATGTTTAACAGCTCTCTGGCATGAATGGTGTAGAAGACTAAACAAATGCCACTACCATCCGCTTATACTCCTGACAGAACTATACAAGTATCATATACTACCAAGCTCGGCATCAATGCAGGATTTAGGGTTGTGGGTCTTAATGCAATCCCTGCACCTAGGCCACACCGTAGTCGTAGCTGACACCTCAACCCCAATGAAATTTTGGGCAGTTTCCTCGGTGCCAGAAATGAGCTATTGTCCAAACTCCTTCTAGGGGGTTATGTAGGGGATTACTATAGGGGTTAGTAAGGGGGATACTAGAAGCTAAGACGTTAACTCAGATACAAGTCTCAAACCGTAAGCTTCAAGCCCTGAAGCCTATAGACGCCAAATCTGCAAGTCAAAGCCCTAGGATTTAGGGTTTAAAGCCCTAAATCCTGAACCCTATAAACTATAATGTTGAAACCCTCTTGCTTCATACAAAGGCCTGGCCGTGACGGGGGACCCAGATGATGAGGAGAACCACAAGCTCACCCTGTGGGTCCGCTGGAGTGTTGATTTCATAACGGGGTTTAGGATTTTGGGGTTTAGGGTTTAGGTTTCGGATTTTGGGGTCTAGGGTTTAGCATTTAGGATTTGGGGGTTTGGGGTTCAGGGTGTTGGGGTTTTGGGTTTAGGGTTTTGGGGTTCAAGGAAAATGGCAACTACCACATCAGTCAGGGGTTTAGGGTTTAGAGGCTCAGGCATGTCGAATTCCTGCATTGAGCATTTAGGGTGTGGAGTCTAGGGTCTAGGGATGGATAGTTTAGGGATATGAAGTTTAGGGATCTAGGGTTAAGGGTGTAGCTCCCAAAGGGCCCCAGCCTTCATGGCTTATACTTGGGGTCTCAGGGGTTCCCAATGTGAAAAGCCTCTTTCTGGGTTCCACTGTGAGCTTGCTTGCCAACAAATACGGATTTTTCAAGGGAGGGACTGAAGAAGTATGGAAAATGTGTCAGGTTATATAAGGGGGGCCAAAATGGACCACAATGTTTTCTAGACTTATTTCATTTCACAGGTCGTGAACGACAACGAGGGCACCGACAACACGAACGGCGAGACCCAGCTGCTTCCGTTCGTCCAGCACTTCTACGAATGAGCTCGCACTTTGCATGGCCAGTGGCTAGAGCGGTTTGGCATTAAGGGTACCTAAACCCCAAAAGTATGTAACATAATAGCCCTAAACCCAGAATAATAGCTATAAAGGCCATTATTTTACATACCTTTGGGGTCCAGGTATAGAGAGTTTAAGGGTTTTAGGTTTTAGGGTCTCAGGTTGAGGGTAATCATAGGGTTAAGGGAGATACATCTTGCACAAACGCGTGCGTACACACGTGTTTGAGAAGGCCTGGATTATCAGTGTTTGGCAGGGTGGTATTTGGCATGGTATTGCTTCCCGTTGCTCCCTAGAGGTGGTGTCCTGCGCATGTAACTTCTCGACTTAAAACACGGAAGGGCATTTCTACAACACCACGATCACCTCAGCGGGGTTCTTTTGAGCTACCATCCTGCAATGGGGCCCCTTGGGGCCCCCTCCCCCAGGAATGTACACATACGGAGTGTTCTCCACGTAGGGGGTGTTCTATAAAGACCAGCGGATACCTGGAGATTAAAGGGGTCGGGATTACATGGAGAATCACTCATACTGTTTCAAGCCACGCTCCGACGGAGTGTCTGGAATTTATTTAGTCTGAAAGTTTTGTCTGTGCGTGCATGCGCAACTCGCTACAGATTGGACTCTGCCGCAAAAGGTCGGAGCCAACGTGTTCCCGAGATTGTCTGCCGCATGGAGCTGATAAGCTCTGGCAAGTCTTAGAGAAAAGGCATGTGGTTTGCTGGGTTGCTGTTAAAGAAATTAAGCTACCATAGTTTTGTGTACTGCTTAAACAGGTATAAGGTTTACCTTTTCAAAAATCCTATGCTTATTACATTCTTGGATGTATAAGTCACTAAACGTGCAAGGTTATTCAAACTTGTAAGACTTTACCCGTGAACCAGGTATATGTATGAAAATGATGGAAAACAGCAAAACACAGTGTTTTTTCATGAGAAAATGAACCCACCCCCAGAAAATATCATAAGAAGAATTACGCACAGTAATAATGATAATAACAACAACAAGGATGAACACAATTCCACGAGTGACGATAAAACCCATAACAATACGAATAACAAAAATGCACTGACCATCATTACCGTAAAATGATAGTGACAAGCCATTAGAAAAACTATGAAGCGTGAAAAGAGAGGAGGAGTTCTTTTACCAATGCCTAATTGGCAGCAGCATTTGTCAGAGAAGCGCGACGGAGCATGGCTTGCGATGATGGCCGAAGCATGACTCATGCAGATTTGTCACCAGGGTTATCAATTCTAGAGATTGCAAAGAAAAGTACATGTTATTTAAAGACTCTGTGTGACGCAAGGCTTTCCATACCACATGGACGCTGTTTACGTTTGGGGGGGGGGGCTTAGAGACTTTTAGGGTGTGGGGGTTAAGGGCACAGGGTGGTTGTTGTAGCAGGGTAGGAAAGCAAACTGGAGATCTCAACGCATTCCCTGAACCCTAAACCCTAAACCCCAAAGCCCAAAGCCCAAAACCCCTAAACGCATATCGCGAAGGAGAAGCAGCTCTTAGCTCTGCATTGTGGGCCTGACGTACATATCCTCTGGATACCCAGGAATGTCCCTCAGCGCTGCCATCCCTACACGTAAAATCACTCCTACAGAGTCATAGGTCACAGGTCCCAAAATAATGCCGTGAACTTCCCCCATTAAGCTCTGCGCCCGGAAGCCTATGCAGGCCATAACTCCAACCCTAAACTCCAAACCCAAAATCCTGAACCCTAA